GGTTGAACAGCATGATCAGAAATTTCACTTTCACTAGTGCAAGGACAGCCACACAAAGACACGTGTGATCTCTCATGCAGCTCCTCCTGCACTCAAGGCTCTGGGAGAGACCTCTGACAGCTAAAGCTATGAATTCATGCTCACCACCCTCAGCTCCTCTAAAGGATGGGACTCTCATCTCAATGCCAGCACTGCTGTTAAATTAGCTATATCCACACGCTTGAGTGCCAGCAGGTATATAAAGGTATACCAGAAAGGTAGCCCAGAGCACAGAATTAGATTCTGACCTCTAACAAAGATGTCTGAAAACTCACTGAAAAAATAATGAGGGTCTGGCTTCATTGTTGTTGCAAACAGGAGGGGCATGAAGAAAGAGGGGTCAGAAGAAGAGTTCATGACGTGAACTTGGGCTACTGGTATGGCTGATTCCTCTTCCCCTGCACACTGCAATCCCAGTGGCAGGGTCAGGGAGGATTTCTGGTTTAGGACACATTCTGGAGTTACGGGCTCTCAGCTCTGTAGTTTCATCAGAGATAAACCACAAGCACAAGATCTAACTCCTGAAACTAGCCTGTGGTATGACTTCACAGAACATCTGTATGCGTACACCACATGTACAATGCACTACATTAATTATATCTGAAACTATAACTGTGTGGAGACAGAAATACGCCAAATTTGATGTGAAAAATATCTCAGTAAGATGATTTAGTGACTCAGAATCCATGGAAATAATTCTCTGTGTTCTCATTTACCAGGGCACTCCTCTCTTGTGGAGCAATTGCAGACTGTCACTGTCTGGTTTGTCCACAGCAATTAATTCCTCTTCAGTCAAAATTAAATATTTCTTTAATGTCCCTCGGTTATATTTTATAGCCTCTCTAAGGCTACTCAAAGCCTTACATGATTCTCCAACCCTAATCTGTCAGTTTCATATACGTGGATGGAGGAGAGTGCAGAGACCCATTGAGATCAGTGGAATTTCATGTAAGCATAAGGGGTCTAAGCAGACTTCAGGCAGCATCAGGGCAATTATCTTCTCACGTATGCACCTTTCACCTTTTTTCATCTTAGTGAATGCGCAATTATTCTGACATTCCTCTTCCCTTGTATCTTCTGGTGGGTTTTCTGTGACAAAATCACAGAGTGACAAAGCCATCTGTCATACTGCCATAAACCTGACCTATGATAAACAAGATAAACCTTTTGAGTCTCCTTCTAAGTCTTTGCCCAGGCTTACCAGATGTGTGATACTACGTGTCAGTGTCTGGAACACCTATATCTGTGCTGGTGCAGCTTAGCAGGTCACTGCCCATCCGCTGGTAATCAGCTGTGTGTGCTCAGCCACTGCTCCACACAACAAACGTGTCTGCTTACAGCTCCTAAGGTATGAGTCTTGCTGAAGCAGATCATCAGGGAGACAGCAACCGACACCGGCAGGCTGCGAGAGGTGTCACAGTTGGGTACCACAGCTCTGCTCAGAAATGCCTCCTTGCTGGGCCAGGACAGTGTTGTCTGTTTGCACAATGCATCCATTTGTGCAGATAAGTAGCTGCTCTAGCATAATTCTCTTTTTTTTTTTTTTTTTTCCTGTAGAATCTCCACACATTTCCTGGTATATTTGCATGACAATGCAAGCAAAATGAAATGTACACTCCTTACAAGCAGATAGGAACCAACCACTGAGATTATCATTTGACTTCAGCTGTTGCAAATTCCTACCAAGGGTAAATGCTATTCAGTCAAATAAGGGCTGACTCAGGACAGAGTGGGATGTCTCCAAGATATCCCAATAATACAATTCACAGTGAGTTCCTCTGTACCAATCTATTAGAAAATAGCAATAGTGTGAGCACAACATAGGAAAAAAGACCATCTTGAACATTTTCAAACACTGGGGTACATGCACAGAATGTGTCTGGCAGTGGGCACTTGGTCTTGTGCTTTTAATAGCAACACAGAACTGTCACACACAAGAAAACCAATCTAAATACAACTTTCATCTTTGTAACTACAGTAATTTAGCAGGAATTTCTGATAATCAGGGGAACAGAAACCTTCAAAGCAAACTTCCAAGCAGACAATGAGAACCACTGGACAACGTTTTGTTTTTTTCCTGTGCAAAATCTGACTAAGGGTTCAAACTGGTGAGACAGGAAGCTGCACCCAGAAGGAAGATGCACAATGTCCAGCACGATGCTGCTAAGATGGCAAGCATCTCCTGCTGTAGCCCAAACGCAGCTAAGTGTCCGCCTCATTGTTTAAGAACCGGGTATTAAATGCAGTTTACTTTGCAGAGGCTCTGTCACAGATTTGGGATATACCTACAGAATGTGTGTTATTTAATGTTTAAGTTAAAGAGGCAGGACCCTTCCATCTAGGCCTGAAAACCTAAAACACTCCAAATATATTCAATACAACACCGGAGTAGGTGTCATTACTTACTATTTAAGTATCTGTCAAGTGCTGGCAGTGTTCTCAAAACAACAATCAGGTCAGAGCTCTTTTATTTCCAATGGAAATGACTGAACTTCATTCAAAGCATTTCAAATTTTGACCTGTCAGAACCCATATGGGACGAAGAACAGAGCGAATTAGAGAGCAACAGCAACTTCTACTGCGCCCTAATTATTGTTTGAAGTAGAAAGTAAGGACTCACACAACCCAGACTCAAGTGAAATGCCTTTCCTAATTGGAAGAATGGCAAGTTCAGTGCATTCTTTGCTGCAGTATAGTTGCTACATATATTACCCAACTGTGACCTGAAAGTGAAAACAGCCATAAACACATATGAATCATCTTAGATGATTTTTATCCAAGTTCAGACAGGCAAGCTGGATTGTTAAACTGTTTTTAACTTACTATCCTGTGGTTAAAAAAGATTAGAGGTAAGAAATTGTACATGTGTCAGTTTTAAAGCTGGCACTGTTCCTCTAACATATAAATAAAACTTAAACAAATCTCTCATTCCCATAAAAATCTGGATTCTGCAGGCTGGGGTTAAAATGCATGCTGTTTCCTATCGCTATTAATGTTCTGAAAAAGCACTTTTCTGACATAGAACTCGTGTTCACCCATTTTGTTTTTGCAGCACAGTAGCAATAACACCTAACTGTGTGGGACATCACCTCATGAAGCACCCTACAAATCAGATTCAGCAGGTGAGTGTCCCAATATTGTCTGCAGCTGGGGTCCCTGACACTATGGGATCCAAAGTGGAAAAGAAACCCTTTTGTATCGGGTTAAATATGAAAACAGAATTTTTGGTGAGTCATTGTAAAAAAAAAAAAAAAAAAAACCTTACTTAGATGTTTTATCTGAAAAAAATAAACCAATGGAGGTTTCCACTTTGGAAGTTAATCTGGAACAAAAGGCAGTGTAAAAAATCAAACTGTCCCAAGGGCTTCAAAGCCCATTAATGTCTTGCCTGTATACTCTGTAGAAGAGCTTAATGCAAGCCCTAGCCAACTATTAGTATGTGCTAATGAGACTCCTGCTACTGCCAGTTCAGGACAAGGACTGCAGGATTTCTTAAGGAGAGGTAACAGAGGCAATACTGACAATCAAGGAGATATCATGGAGAGGTCTTTCTTCCTCTGGTTCCCACTAATTAAGGCCTCTTCTGTGGCTTTTTTCAAAAAGCCTCTCTTTAAAACCACCATTTGTTGTGGTCCCAATGGCTAGCACAGAGACAGGGTGTACACAGAGGTCACACTGCTGTAACTGCAGGCTCAGCCCTGAATCACATTTCAGGTCAGACCTTACCCACACAAGGACCCCTCTGGTGCTGGGACACAGTCTGAATATCAATCTGTCAAAAACTATCTGCAGTGAACAAAATGAACAAGCGAGGCATCTCTGGAGACGCAGAGAACATAAGAGCTGAGAACTAGACACTGGGAAGGCTTGTAGGGTACTTACATTCACTGCATACGAAGTTAAGGGATCAGTCACTGCAGTTAGACACCGCCCCACATGCATGGCTGTCCAACCCACAAGGAGAGATGGGAACATCTCTGTGTCCAGGATGGATATGGTTGGAGACGCCTAATCAGCAGATTTTGTCCATATGCTGCATGGCATCACAGGGAGGAAGCCCTGAGACCATGGCAGTGTCCAACATGGTCTTTCGTACTCCAGGCATGCATTCTATGTTCTGCCCTACCTGGGGCCATCCTCTTACAATCTCATTTGAACAGCATTTAATGCTCAGTTTAACTTCTGGAAACAAAAAACACATCCTCAGCACAGGGGAAATTTCAGTACTGCCCTCATTGTGTTTTCTGCAGTTGGTACAGAGAGACTCACACACCCAAACTGCAAGAGTCGTAGGAAAAACACAGATCTCTTGCACTGCACCACAGCCTGTGTCGAGACAGCAGTGCCAGCAGATACAGTTTATCACACAAGACTGTTCTCACACAGCACACAATAACCTCGTGCCTCAGTTGTGTTTTGCATGAAAAGAGCAAGCAACTTTAAATTCAATCAGAAATCATTCTAATAAATGGGAAGACGGCAACAGCCCAGGTTCTCCTCTTGGCAACGATCACAGCTCCTCTTAAGGGTCAAGCAGAGCTGGGAGTGCACAAGACTGGAAGAGGGCTGTTGGAGAACAGAAGAACCTGCTTTAAGGACATGACACAGAGCTACAATAACCAGGGAGAGAGAGAAGTAGAAAGAGACATACTGGAGAAGCTGACCATTGCGAAATGCTGACACCGGTCTCCTGTGAATTCGATCGGACACCTACCGAAAGAAAGAAAACCAGAAAGAAAGAAACAAGATAGCAAAATGACACCCAGACAGAGCAAACTGAGGCCCCTTTCTGATCCCTTTCACAACTCCTATCTGTCTGCTTTCAGCCTGCGCCCTTACCTGCAGCCCTAAGCCCTAGCCCAAAGCTGACACCAAGAGCCATCCCTGACTAGACCACTCTACATCCACGCTGTGCCCAGGAGGTTTTAAGTAGTGTGCTGTGTGTTTGTCTTCAAACATACTTTGCTTAGGATCTGGCATGTACAATCGCAAAGGCAGTTTCTCCAAACATCTCTGTCCGAAGAATCCATTTGGACATCTGGAGGGGAAAAGGGGAGAAATCACAGAACATGTCTGGCACCATTCTTGAGGCTAAGGTCAAAAATAAAAAGTGCATTGTGATGAATGGAAAAAATAAATGCTTCACGCGCGTATTTACTTTCTGCTTTGCTTTAACCAGGCACCTGTAACATTAGCACTGCAGCTTTATTCTAGGCCTGGATCTTCAAGCCACCAGCAAAACCCCTTCTTTCTTTCTCTGCCTGCCTCCTACCTTCTCACCTGCTAGAAGCACCAGATGGTAGGAAGATCGAGATGGATGGGATGCTACTTGCAGCCACTATCTAGACAAGACTGGCAAGGAGCACCACAGAGCGGTGAGCAGCTGCTCAGGCGACAGCAAGCGTTGTGTGGGACAAGCATCTTCGTGTTACTGCCCCTGGAAGGACTCACAGAGTGCTCCAGGGAGAATGGCTGTGTTGCTGTTAGAGAGAAAGCATGTGCAGAATCTCTGTGTTAACAGAGAGAAAGGGACAGAGAAGAAAGCTGAGCCAGAACAGACATCATGCGCTGCCCGGCTGCAAGGCTCTGGCAGGCTATCCCAGTCACCATGAGGAGATGGCCGGGATGTGCCAGCTCACGGGGCTGGAAATTGATGGGAACTCAGCAGTGGGTGGCCAAACACCTCTCTCCCTGGAGCCTATCTCCCTGCCTTACTTCATATCTTTCAGCATGACTTCTTGGACAGTCCCTCTGCGTTTATCCCTACCTTTCTCCATGTCCTGTCCCTACCTGCCTACCGCACCCTTCTGACCAAGCTCTCTGAGCTCCATAGATTTCTTCGTAATACCAAGCATTTTAACAAGCTTTCCAACTTCTTAGAGCAAGCAGCGCTGCGGGCTTTGCGTCTTGTTGTCAGACTTCCCTCAACCTCGACTGTGCTGTGCCCATCCCTCACCAAGGCCTCAGGTCCCAGCTGGACTACAAAGAGCCCAAAATGCTCATCAGAAGCAAGCACCGGAGCCCTGAAGCGGAAGCGATGGCTTAACTCCTCACCTATCCAGTGTGAGGGACAGCAGACAGCCAGAGCAGCCTCAGCACAGAGCCAGGTGAGCGGGCCCGGTGCGCACAGCCGGATGGTGGAGTGAGACGGGCCCAGGTCCCAGTGCAAGTCCCAGCCCTGCAGGCGCGACCCAGTCTGCGCAGGGCACCAATGTCTGCTCCCAGTCTGTGGCACAGCACAGAGAGGAGGAAGCGGTGGTTTCAAACCCTGCGATGTCTAATATGATCAAAGCTTTGCAGTTCAAAAGAGTGTTGGCAGATCAGTTCTGTGCTGTTGCTCAAAGGCTACAGTAGCATTTGTTCTTCTTGCCAGATTTACGTTTAGATGGCATGCCATTGATATGCAACTTCAGCGGCAATAAAGGAAGCCAAGAAGAGAGAGGAACTCCTGTTTCTCTCTACTTAATGGAACACAGGCAGCGTTTTTCAGCAATTATTTATTTCTCATGTGAAGAGAGATAGAATCAGAGAGGGAGAAATGAGGAAAACTGTCATTTTCAGTAGTTCTCCCTCATCGTGAACACACACAGGTAAGAATCATGACATGGAAGGGGGTGTGACAAGCTCTCAGTAAAGGCCCTAGGGCACAAAACCCAACTGTCAGGCCAGCAAGGATGCAGACTTCTCTGAGCTGAGGCTCCCCTCCAAATGCGAGAGGTGAGGGTCAGTGAGGACTTGGAAAGAACTTGTTGGCTGAACTCGAAGAAGTGCCACATGGCTGGTCACAAGGCAGGCCAGAGCAAAAAGATCTCTCAGCTCTGGCACGGTCGTGACTGGTAGAACTCACCTCATGCACAGAGGTCTAACCTCTGCCTGGAGACCTGTACTAACGTTCTTAGGGAAAAGCCTGCGGTGCTTGCTGGTACGCTAGCACATCACTGTTGCAGGTTCCTAAAGTAGCTCATCGAGGACAACCAGCTCCTACTCAGGGTGAATTCTGATGCTTGGGACTTACAGATACACCTCTGAATGCTGCATCATCCAAGGTGTACAAGATATAGCTAACAAAAGGCTATGTGATTTCTCCATCCCATATACTGTCCTTTTCCATTTTGCATCCACAGCTCCAAATCTGTCTTTCCTCTAAGGAACGAATTTCCCAGTTCTCAAAGGTAAGGTGCCCCACATCCAGGGGACGTTTCAGTAGTTGCCCCTCTCAGAAGAAAGTTCTGAAAGGGCCTGCATGACTGAAGTGGCTTTTACAGTTGATTTCATGTTGGTTTTTGTTGCAGGTTTGGTATATGTGCACTGAGCAAAGTTGGGGCATCCTCACTGCTCATAACCCATTTTATTTTCTGTTTGGGTCCTGTGTTAACATATCCACATAACAGCGTGCTGGAATATTTGCATGCTCCAACCTGCTTGAGGGGTGCTTAAGGGCACAGCTCTGCATGAAGCTTCGCTGCGCTCCCTAGACATACAGGGGTTCCTCAGTGTCCATGCTGCTTCTGAAACTGGAGATTTGATTCCTTGGTCAGGCAAATATCTTTGAAGAAAACTACCCTTTTTTTTTTTTTCATTAAGTGTGATTCTTGGATGTTCATCCTGGAGTCCAGGAAAGGTAAGCATAGTGGTAATGTCATTTCAAGTCAGGGTGCCAGCTCCAAGGATTATCATCAAAAGGCCTATTGACTTTCCTTGTGATGAAGAAGAGGAAGCTGGTACTGGGAGTAGAGTGAAGATGCCCTGCTGGCAATCAAAGAGGCAATTTGGTGATGAAGACTCACAAGGACAGCCTGGTGAAGCTGATTTTAGAGAAGCCTTTAAAAGACTGCACTGGAGTTTGAACAAAGCAGGCAAAACAGATGTCACCTTCCCAATCATTTCCTAAGTTTATTCATCATCACTGACACTCAAGAAGTCAATGTGTAGTCTTCAAGACATCCGGTTTAGCTTAGAATGTTCTGGCTATTTGTCTGTGATCTGAGATTCAGTTCATGTGTGTGCCGTGGGCACCCTGGAGGGAGGTCATGAATGAAGCAGGTATCTTACCCAGCCAAGGAAACGGACATTTTGTCAGAAGGGAGCTAAAACTGCCTCAGATGCACATTTGCAAGATTTCAGCCATGGCTAGAACTTGAACGTGACTGAAGTTGCATGCCACTAAGGAAAGACTGAAAATCAATTGAAAAATGGTGGAAGAAAATAAAACTCAGAAAAACAAATTGGTGAGAAGTGAAAAAAACAGAACAGAAATGTGTCAAACAAGCTTTGATGCCATGACAGCTACCATATAGTCCATCCTTAGATCTCAGCCGTCAGCTTAGCGTGGGAGGGGAAAAGAACTTTCTAGATAGAAGGCAATAGATAACAGTCATCTCCCTGTCTAGGACAGCTCAGGCTTTTCATCTTTAGTTGTTAGTGAATCAGCACAGGGAAAAGTGACAGAAAAGTAGCTCTCATAAACACGAACACCTTTTGTCACCTCCCATGCTGTCAAAATGATGTGCTTCCACAGTAATCCCATGCAGAAGGTGTGCATTATGAGACTGCCACAGATGCAGTTCTCTCTCCTCTGGGTCCTGATTTCCCAGATGTAAGCTTGCTGGCAGCATGAGTGACCAGGATAACTTTGAAAGTTATGCACTGCTCATGGTCCCTTGTTTGTCTGATACTCCTAGGCTGGTGAACGTGAAGATTTGTTATTTATTATCACTTCTCCAGCTGTGACACCTAGGAAAGAAATTTCCAGCTTGCACAGCACATGAGTGTCCCACTCTAGACAAGCAGAGCAAATGGAAGGCACCCTTTCTGCATGCAGAATCTTCTGTTTCCTGTATTACAGGTCTGTGGGCAGCTCCTCTTCAGTAGCTAAACTTAAGATCTGAGTGGCACACCTGAAAGTTAAGGCTTCCTAAGACCAGAAGTCATGCAATGGTCTTTTATCACAGCATCCTTCTTCCTACACATCTGACTCTAGCCAGGTGATTTGGGCTGGTTATGCCAGCAGAATGAATGGCGGACCGTGCCTTCAAATAGTATCTTTGGACTCCTTAGTCCACTCCCCAGCCTCGCAGAGGCCCAGCATGCTCCTTCTCTTGAGAAGGGAAGTGGGCAAAGTTGTGCCTGTTTACCTAGAAACAGGGCAGAGCAATGACTATTGTTGATTATTATTATTTAATTATTAATCAAACAAATAATTAAAATAATATTCATGCTGGGAGCACAGCTGTTGACCTAAATCTTGCAAGCGTTGCTCCATTTCCTTTACACCCTCATTTATGCCAAATGTGGTAGCTCTCATAATGCAATCTGTGCTACAAAAAAATAAAGAAGCAGGTGCATCAAAATAACAAGATAAGGAGAAGCTGTAGCAGAAGGACACAATGCACTGATAAAAGGAAATGAAGAAATGTCTCAAGCATGTTGTTTATTTGTGCAAAGGGCAGAAAAAGAAGACAGTTCTGTCATTGTCCCCTGACCAGTCCCAGATATCAGGCTCTTAGAGAGCCACAAAACACTTGGACTCCACAAGACCACTAATGAGTAGAAAAGAAAGCAACCAGAATAAATGCAGAGGCCTTATCCAGAGCATTTATTATCTTATCTAATATATCTTATCTTATCTAATCAAGGCATGTTTGCTGTATACAGAGTCCAAACCACAGGAACATCCACTTCTAGCCTCCGTGAAGACAGTGCAGCGCACTTCCAACCGAGCTGTGGGAGCTCAGTGGGATCAACACTGTTGTCTTCACTGAGCCTTGCTGTTGAAGGATCAGCTTCCACGCTCTGAATGTTCTCAGGGGTCTGCTATAGTTACATGCGCATTAAAGGGAATGCATTGAACTGGACGCATAGAATGACCACTTGAACACAAAAAGGTACCTGATCTCATTACCCAGGATAAATGGTATACAAAGCATAATGAACTAGTCCTGGCTGGTTTGGAGACTTGGAATAGTATGTGGTGATTTTCACCCCTAGCTCAACACTGCGAGCTCTTCAGTGAACATGTAATTTTGTTAAATGTAGACAGCCCACACCCAGAAAGTCAGCATCTGGGAATCCTTCAACCTGACTCCTGCGAACACAACCTGTACGGCCTGATCATGGGGGTGGAGGTTGCTCTCAAAGCTCTTTATGTCTTTTAATCCTACGCAGTTCACTAACGTCCTGCCCCACCAGCCACTTCAACTGCATTAAACACACCAAAGAATCACGTAGCAGAGGAGGGCTGTGCAGCAGAGTCGACTTTGTTTCTTTGCTCTGCTCAGAAGACCCCAACTGAAGATGATTTGTGCCAAGACTAAATGGGAAGAAGAGTATTTCTGCTGTGACATATACACTAGCCCAATCCTGTAGGACCTGGCACTCAGTGATAACAGTTCAGAGCCGCCTCAAGCTGCTCCAAGTTGTGCCAAGAACCCAACAGGCTCCAGGATGGAGGCAGGCCCACAGTCAAAGGCCGCAAACCTTCCCAAGCACTGAGTTCAGTTGGACACAACATCTCTATTTCTGTCCCAGCTCTTGAAAATTGCTTGCGTGCATCCCTTCTGCAGGCACTGCAATTTGCTCTACTCAAACTCGCAGCTTCCCTGCTGTTACGGTGAGAAAACAGTCCATACACCTTCTAAGGCCTCTCTGAGCAAAATGGTCTGGAGAAAGGTCAAGACATTTTTCTGACAACAAGAGCCTGGGCTCTTTAATCTTCTAAGGCTGTTGAACCAATTCTGTATGTGTGTGGCTCAGTAGATTTCTGGGTTTATGCCTCAAATTTGTAGAATATCCGAGGCAGATCAGACTCCTCCCATCTAACTTCCAGGTGGTCTGTTTGTAGAGTATGCGTAAAAAGACAGTTTGTATCACATTTGAGTATCCTTTAACATGGGCATGTGTAGAATTTACTTCAAATTAAGGACTGATTTATGCAAGCACACAATCCAAAACAGACACACTGCCTGGCACAGCTCCAATGCCATTCTGGGCTTTTCCCTGGTTAAGAAACTGCATTATCCAAAGTTTAGATGAAGTGTATTGAAAAGGGAGAGAGGAGGTGAGTTTGCAGGCAAAAGATGAGCTGCTGTTTGTTCCTTAGAATTTAAAAGACCAAGAGGAATGTAATTCTGGGAAGCCTGCTAAAAAAATAATACTAAGAGGCTAGCTGCCAATTTAGGCAATATCTGTAACAAAATAAGTATGAGCCGCTTCAGAAGAAATCATTTGAGAATCCAGCTGCTCTTTTTTTGCTCCAAAGTGCCAGGCGTAACAACAGCAGCAAGGATCTTCAATGAAATCTGCTTCTGATTACAGAATGATGACAGGTAGTGAACAAGAACTCATTAAAATTCTGTCTTCTGAACGCAGTGAAAAACCAGTGGTATCACACGAAGGCCAGGCATTCTGGAATCTCCTCAGCACTTGGTGAAGGAACACTGCAAGGCAGCATACAGTGCCAGAAGACCCTCAAGGCTCCGATGACTCTAACCAGAATAGCACAGTGGGAACAGTGTACAGGTAGATATGTCATGGCTGGCTCAAGAGGCTCACGTGGCTCTTGTCTGATCTCTGTACCAAGGCGCTTGAAGAGGCTGTATGCAGAAGGACCTGATGACATCCTCCATGGCCACATCTCAGAGCAATGGTTGGCTCCCATGCTACAGAGTTGAGAAATGCAGGTCAAAGCCTGCATCTTTTCCTCCTTCTCTTTCTTCCTTTCTGAATCCAAACCACTGCATCTTTCACACACAGCAGCTGACCTCTTGCCTTGGTGCAACAAGGAAGCTGTGAAATATTTCAGCACTTTGCTACTTTGCTAGTTCACAGGCAGGCAACACTGAAGTCATCTTATCCATCATCAGCCTTCACAAGAATACTCCAAGTTATTAGGAAAGTCATTTTAAGAGAAATGCAATGTTCATATGTTCAAAAGTTCAAACACTTTTGCATTTCTCTATAATTATACATTTCTGGAGTCCCAGAAACTCTAAATTGTATCACTTCAAAATCCAGGATTTTCATCTTCAGTCTATGATTTGATGACAGAAACACTAAAGAAGAATGAACATCCAGACATTTCCTCAAGAAGTAGGATCAGAAATGACTGCTCTGCACGGAAAGCACTTGGGTCCCCTGGGCAGAACTGTCTTCGCTGGCAGATGAATAGTGACAGTGCAGATCTTCAAGCACCTTCTTTCAGTTAGCATTTGCTGCCCTTCCACATTCACTAATTCAGTTCCCATTTGGTTTTAGCAACTGGTATCTCAGGACCCATCAGAAACAAATCTTTTTACCATTTGCAAGTAGGAAATTATGGCTTCCAAATTACATGAGATAATTACGTCTGTTTTGCACGGCACATAAAACCTTGATGGAATTTGTCACTGAGCTCATCAGCTGTCATAGCAGCCCCTTTTTGAAGGTAGACTGCTTCTTCACAGGGTAGGAATTACCTTGGTTAAATCAGTCTTTCTGCTGAAGATACTTCATAATTACCATGTCTATCCTTCATGAGGGATAACAGAGCCTAAAGATTATATCTGCACATGGCAGGGCCTCAGGTAACTCTTGCTATAATTAGTAATTTATCTGATCTGAAAGTCTTATCTGGATTCAAGTTTTTTCAAGAAGAAATAGCCCTGAGATCTATGTTTCTGGCACCAGCACTTTGCTCAGAGAGAGATGTTGGACCATACACTCCTCTCAAAAGGCTGAGCCCTCCCAAGCATGGGAACACTGGAATTATTGGGACCTCATGGGGCTGCACTATACCAGAATAGTGTCTGCGTCTTCCCTCATGTTTCAGTGGGGGATGCTGTCAGAATGAACTTACAGTGCCACAGAGACATCAAAGGCAGTGACAACTACCCTAAAACACAGGTCTTTGGTGTAGAAGGGCTGCTCTCATCTCACACGCATGGAAAGTGTTGAGGACCACAGCAACTGGTCTCTGTCCTACGCAGCTCCTTTGTGTCAGAAGAGCTAAGCCTGGGAGAACTGGGAGAAACTGCTGATACAATGTCTTTCCCACTATACCTGATCCTTCACTGGAAAGTGAGAACACAGGAGCTCAGCAGAATGCGTTATGGCTTTTCCTACTCCTGCCAAAACAGTGGAGTACCAAGAGTGGAGGGGAGTTGTGCTAAGTGTAGTCCAGCTCACAGCCCTTACAGGAGAGATGATGGCTCTGTTCAGATTCATCAAGGCCTGAGGAGGCAAGTTGTCTAGCAAGGATCACACCGTGTAGTGGCAGTGGGACTAGGCTGAGATCCACAGATGTAAATATCTTCGGCAGAACCTCTCCACTCCGAGGTGTCTGGAAGAAAACCATCAGCTCTGGGCTTCCCCAAGCTGGGCATAGTGGGGCCTGTTGTGCTTTGATGCTGACTACAAAACTCCTGAGCTCAGCAGCCAGGCTGGGCACTGCCTCACCTCACTCAGTGGCTGGGCAGAAGCCATCAAGTCCCACTCCCAGGGCACCAGATCAGGCTTACTCCGTGGGAGCCCAGGGGCAGACAGAGGTGTGCACTGGCTTGGGTACATTCATCTCCAGCACTGAATCAGACTGTGCTCTCATCCACATCAGGTTTGGAGGGTGAACCAAGATGCTGTTGGGCTTTTTAAATGGGATAAGTTTGAACCAGAGGTGAAAAACTCTCACATCCTGTTCCACATTCCTCAGACTATGCAGCCCCACTTTAATCCCACCAAGAAATTTCATTTTAAGTATACACAATGCTTCTCCTTGCTATTTTTCTGTTCTTTCAGATTTTAGCATTTGAAGGGTAACAATACACAACCCCACAGCCCATTACACAGGTAGGCACACAGTAGTGAAGAGCTGTGTGCTAAACCCATTTCTGGGCCCATGAGAAGCAGACTGGGGGGGGATAAAAGGCAAGTCTCTGCCAGGCACCCCTCAGGTGGCTGTGTCCTTCTGCTCAGAGGACAGGAGGTGTCAGCTGGGGGCAAGGAGCACTGACACAGCTCAGGGAGACCACAGGGACCTGACCTTCCCTGAAGCTGCAGAGGAAAAGGGAAGAAAGGGAACAGCCAGGACAGGTGTATTCATCTAAGAAAAGGAGACGTCAGGAACAGCAGTGGCACTCACACAAAAAAGAAAACAGGAACCTTCTTCCCCTTCCCTCACCTTCTAGATTCCCATTCTGAACCTGCACAGCTTGAACTGCAATTGCCAGAATTTCAGAGCTACCTCTCCTGCAGTTGCACAGAAGTCTCCTCTCCCACAGCCAAGTAATTTGCATGTTGACACAAGAACTACACTCACTTACTTGCAAGACAGCTGATTAATCCCTTCGATGTAGTAGCATACTCCTCCATTGACACAATAGGATTTGGCTGTTTCGTTGCATTTTCTAGCATGCCCAGACCAGGAGGAGAGAGTTGTGGTTACTGCAGGAAAAAAAAAAAACACAAACACACAAACACAAAAAGGATATAATGTTATTTCCTTTGTCGGACAATTCTGTTTTCTTAGATGATTTTTAATTAGCTCACTTGCCAAAGTAAAAACCCTGGAGCTACAGACCTCAGCCCATGCCTTTAGACCTACGTTCACCTTTCCAGGTGCTGGGGCTGCAACTTGACCTCACTCTTCCCAGAAGAGGTGGCGAAGTGAGTGGGCAGCTGAGGACTTGCCCTCCTCCAAGTTACTAGCGTGTCAGGACAAGATCATCCTTTTGGTAAGCTTTGTGGAGAAGTGCCCTTTCCCAGCTCTCCTTCATCCTTCTTTTTCATGTGCATGCAATCCAGCACTAGGAAGCCCAACGCATTCTCAGAATCACAGGGCCAGGTGGCATGCTGCTGAGGCCTGATTTGCATCACAATGCTGGACCAAGATCCAGAGATTCTGCAGAGGACACTTCAATGATAGGAGGATGCTTCGATTGCTCCACATCTCCCAGAGGAAATGATTTCTCAGCTCATGAAGCAAATGTCCTCACTGTGCCCACAACAGGTCCAGTGCAAATAGAAACAACTCTTCCGCCCCTATTTCTGAGCATGTCTCTGTAGTGCCTCTGGTTCTGCTTCTAGAGACCAAACACGATAAGGCAGCCAGTCCCAGTCTGTGCTAAGAAGGGGGAAGTAAGCATGACTCAAGTTTCCCTGGGTACAGATGCTTTTCCAAAAGCATCCATGGCCTTCCTGCTGTGTAAGGCACAAATAAAACGGAAGTTGAGGATAGATGATTCCACCAACACCACAAAGAATTCCCCGCAAACACCCCTGAAATATGAAGACTCCCAAACTTCTGTAGGGAAATTCACTTCTTCCTTCCAATTAATCTTAGTGGGATCTCTTCCAATTCAGTTTAATGGGAACTAGAAACCAAAACCATCATAATGGCTTTGTAATGAGCCTGTATGATTTTTATAGCAGCACATTATTTCCATGACCTGTGGGGAACTGCTTGTTGAGGACGGGGGAGCTCTAAAGGATAGCACCTACAGACTGCAAGGCCACTCCTTCAGCTGAGTACTTAACACCATGCTGCATTGATGTTTTAGCACCAGAGTGAACTACAGTCCTGACCAGCAAGAGATTCATCTGATTGGCATTATAACAGGATTTTCATCCAATTATAAACTATTTTCTTCTTTTAAACAGAATTAGAAAAGAGACTGACATGAATGAGGCTCGGGAAGTGCAAGTTGTGCATGTCCCAACAAGAGCTGTGTCTGTCCGAAAAAGAGGCGGTTGGTCAGTTCTCCTAAGAGCACCTTGTTAAAGTCATTATTTCTTAAATCCCGTTTTCTGCAAGTCCCGTGTCTTTTCTTTCAGCAAAGCACAAGGTATTTTAAAACTGAGTCACAAAATCATATTCTCACAATCTAGATGTTCCAAATGCTACGAAAAAGAGGTAGACAGCTCAGGTTTTGATTGAGAAGAGTGTCATGAAATGCAAGCTGCTGTCAGAACAAAAGCTGAGCTCTACTGGTCAAACAATAGCCCCGACACGAGTCTGACAAATAGGCAACGCTTAAGGAAGGGCAGATCAGCATGCAATGACAGTTTTCTTCTGGCCATCTAGGATGGGCAGCTAAGGCCATCAGGTCAGCCGCAGTGCCTGTGATGGATTTCTCTTCTATGAATGTGTCTAGCTGCTGCTTGAACAGATCTAATCTTGTAGCATCCACATTATTTGTGACAAGAACTCCAGTGTTATGTACACAGTGTGAAAAGGCACACCTCAATTTACTTCTTTGAAACCTGACCCTTTCTAGCTCTTGCACCAGAAGAAAAGAGTGTTCGTTTCCACACATTTCCTCTGTGCTACCTGTGGCTTTGCTGGCACAGGCAGCATCTTCTTTGCCAGCTAGAGCACAATGATTTAGTAGCCTCCTACACACAGGTTACTTTGTTGTAATCCTTTTTGTGCCATCTTTATTTCTACTTTTCCTGTTGGAGATGACAAGACCAGAACTGCAGGTAAAGTGTGGCCCAGGGATGCACACAGGGCTCATAATTCCCAATGTCCATTTTGAGATTAGACCTACTGAATGCAGACCCTTATTGATAATAACCCTGACATCTCAGTCCTCCATGGGAACAGTGAGTGCAGAGCCTCCAAAGGGGCTTGACTGCTCTGGGATATTGCTGAGGCCAGGACCTCATGCCCATGGGGCCAGAAGCTAAGAACAGTTAGTGAGGAACCTGCCAATCCAGGGAGCAGGAGCAGCGAGAAACAAAATGTCTTGCTCAGAAAATGTAATCACATCTGGTTTGCAGTGCAGCCCCCCTGGGCTTGAAGCATGAAGCATGGAGACAAAGGGGATTTCAGTGGGTTTCCACCACACTAGCAGGATAATTCACAGACTCACAAGCATTCCATCACTGTTCTTTGTGTGTAACTGTATTTCCTCCTCAGCCTGAGCCACTGGAAATACCTTTGCAAATACCTGCTCCTGAGTCATCTGCAACTCAGTAACTGATGTCAGCAAAGTGAGTTCCATGTGCAGTTTATCTGCAGTCATGCATTCACCTCTGCTCCAAACATCTCTCAGGTGTGCCTCGTGACCCAGGGAGACTTTCTGCAACTACAACACCTTCATTGCTGTGTCAGATCAGGCAGATTTTACTCCCCACTGACTGGTGTGGTAGAATGAGGTCTTCATTCAGCTTCCAGCATAATCCCATCTACTCCAAAGGATGTGGAAGTTATAAGGTTATTGAAATAAGTGGAGATCCGAGTAGATCAGGGAGCGGTTTGCAGCAAGAAATGGCATGTTAGCTGCAACCTGGGTGAAAAGGGACTGGGTGAAGGTAGTGGGAGAAAAGGAAAGGATCTGCGCAGTGACATCAGTCATGTATCAGCTGCCTCCTCCAAGCACTTCAACAAATGAAGAGCAAGAAATATGGAGTGTGCATGAAAAATGCTGCAGAAAAGAAGTGGTACAATGAGACCAGTGGGAATAAGTATGGCAAGCCCTGAGGCAGGGTCCTCTGTGAGCACACAGGCCAACTGGTCACAAAGCTCTGGCAAGGTGGAGCAAAGCCTGGAGCAGCTCACCCAGCAAGTCTCCAGCCAGGCTCAGTTCTGGGGCTGAAAGCAAAGGAGAGGGATAAGGAGGCGAGGATGGGCAAAGAGGGCTGCCTCTGACTGATAGGATTGTGAATGATTCTCCTCTCCTCTCCTCTCCTCTCCTCTCCTCTCCAAGCAGAAAGGACATTAATAGTTATACAAGAATCTTATGCAACTCATATCATGCATGCTGTGTAGGCTTTGCAGTCAGCTCATCAGGGTGTTCTGAGGAATCAAGTGAAATATTCTGCCTTCAGTCTCCAAAGGGTTAATTAATGCAGCCTGGACTATAAATTATAGTTAATTTTTCACAAACTCCAGCTACTGTCGAGGAAAGCAGGGAAACAGAGATAGTTTCACTACTCTTTTTTTTAAATAATGTTGACTAGTGAGTTCATGGAGTACAGACACTTTACTCTCTCAATATTTAGACATTCAGTTAGACAGATGAACTCAGCTGGTCAGACAGTGTATACAAATTGCCTGCTCTGTATATGCCTCATGTACTTACTGATAAAACACAGAATTGCTGAGGTTCCTCTCTACCTAGTTCATCCAACTCCTTGTCAGGGAAACATGGCTGAGAAGGTGTCTGGCAACCTATTCCTCAGCTGTAGCAGTGTAATCCTAGAGTGAGCCACACTAAATCCATGATTTATGCTGATGAATACACGGAGGGACTGTTGATCCTAACCATTCTCTCGGTGGCAGATTTTTGTACAGTTGGTACAGCGCTCTCTTCTCTCACTAGAAGTGAATGGACTCTGGATGCTCATTGCTGCTATCTGTACGTAAAATCAGAAGGGCTTGCACAGACCGGGACTTGCCTGGCAATGGATCAGTGACTCTAGAGCTCATAAAAATTCTGCTCCTTTGTGTTCCTGTGCATTTATTCATTTGGAAATGTTCCAGCATCTACTCCTGCATTTTTTTGAAATAGATCCTGCTCAAATTGCCTTCCCATCTCCTGTGGGGATCACGAGCATCAAAAGCCAGACCAGAAGTTCACCCAAAAATACAAATGCCAGACTTCAGTACAATCACCTGAGAGCAACAGATACGGCTGATCAAAACCACACAGGCACATGTTCTGTATGGACTGTCCACACGTGTCACTGCGTAACAAGTTTAAAGACTTAGAAGCACCAAGGGACTGCCTGTTTCTGAGGGATGAAGTCCTGCATAATCAAAACCCCACCAGCTGCTTCTCCCAGCTGACCTCTCCAGTTTTATGAAGTAGCTCTTCCTAAGCTTTTCTGTATGTTTTTCTCTATGTTTTAGCACCACGTGATTTTATTTTTCCAAATCTCCATCATCAATTATAATGGCAGCAACATGATACTTTAGTGAGGAGATCTGCTCAACAACTGAAAAAGCGGGGCTAGTGCCAGCACAAATGCTTTGCAGGCTGGGCAGCTTAAGCCCAAGAAGAGAAGCAGTGTGACAGGATGGAGTCAGACCACCAGGCAGATCCCCTGGTACACAGCCTCCTTCTCCAAAGGCTGGCCATACTGCCTTACTTCTTCAAGGGGATGTCAGCTTCCAACCCACGCTTTACTTTTCACAGATGGACTTCCCTTCTGTGCCCTTAGAATCGTAATGGCCTGTCTCAACGTCACACCTTCAGCAGCGGGCAGAACGGTTACTTCAGAAATACGCTGTGCAAAATAAGCAATGAATGTGATCTAACACAACACAGACATAGCACAGCTCTGAAGATCGACAGTGAGATCTCCGGCACATCCTCCTCACAGTACCGTGCCTGCATACGTGCAGGCTTCATTCAATGACCAACCACACCTCCGGCTCTGGACTCTAAATTTAGGCTTTTAAGCAAAGGCCGCACCAGGTCTTATTTTAGTCTAATCTG